AAGAAGAAATCCAGAGATCACTGCCTAACAGATGGATTTCTACGAATTTTGATTGTGATAAGGATGAAGGAAATCCGCAGGAATTAACGAAATCGTTAACTCGGCAGCTGGTGCGATTGAAAACACCAGAGAGAACAGTTGTTGTTGCTAATCTTGACGCACCTTCTTCTCCATCAACAAATTCTTCGGGTCAGGAGAACCAGGCAGCTAAATCTCCTGTTTTTCCAACAAATAACGATAGAAATCGACCGACTTTTTCTCAAAATCGACAAACAAATTTTTATGGACGAAATAATAGTAATGGCGGAGGTCAGAATAGTAACAATAACAGTTTTCGCCTGCCTTTTCCTTCTGATAACTCTGTCAATTTTAATCGTTCAAATCCATCAGCGGCAAATGGTAATAGAGAACCGCCAGGACCATCATAGGCGTAACTACGGGGGAGGCCAGTGGGCCATGGCCCAACACGATCTGAGCATTGGCCCAAAACCAAATTGTTTTTGAGTGTTCTGCCCAAAGCTTTTCCCTCACCTACCAGTCCTGAATAAAGTTTGTGACATGAAAGCGAAATAATGTGCTGCCCATCCAAAGATATAGCATGAGTTTTGTTTCACATCTTTTTGACATTGTTGGATAGAGAAAAAATAATAAAATTTGGCGCGTATTTTGCCGTTTCCTCCATTAAAAATCAACTTTTCGACACAAGGAAAGGCTATTTGGGGGATCAGTGTTAACCAAAGTTGAAAACTGTGTTTCGAGTAGTTTCGGGAATTTTAGATTTTTAGTGAAAATACCGCGTTTTATTTTTAAGTTTTGAGAAAATCGAGAAAAATCGAAACAATACGGACTACTTCAAAGATCCCGAAACACATATTTTCCAACTCAGTTTGCAATGCTGATTCTGAAGCTGGCCTTTTTTGTGTCGAAAAGTTGATTTCTAATAGAGAAAACGGCAAAATACGAGCCCAATTCATTATTTTTCCAGTGATTTCGAAAAAATAGAATTTCTCGGCAACAAAACAAAATTTTCCAAAAAAGACAATACTTACAAACAGTACCGATAACTGTTGCCCAATAATATGTGGGACAGTGTACTACTATAATACGCTGAATAGCTCGTTCCAGAATAATCTTGGTTTGGTAAACGACTATATAGCTGAGTGACCGTAAAATTGACTGGCAGCCCCTTTACCATTCTGCTCGTACTCCGCAGATTCTGAGTCCATTTTAGCTTCTAAAGTTACCAGAATTAGCTTTCCAGACTCAGTTTTTGGTGGAAAATAAGAAAAAAGGTTTTGAAATTTCGAAACACTACCAAACATGAAAATTTCACTGTTTTTTCCTGCAATTCAAAAAGTCAATATTTTTCAATTTTTTCTTGCAAAAATGGCGTTGAAAAATCTCAAATTTCCACGAGAACTAGTAACACCGAAAATGACGGTATCAGAACTGGCAACAGTTGGAAATATTTCCTGCCCAAGCAGGCAACGTTCGGCCCACCAAGGCCCACCAATTCTTTTCGACTCTACGGAACACGACCCAGCAGTCCAAAAATCCTGGTTACGCCATTGCTTCTGAGAACTGTATGAGTAGTATCCTATGACTTTTGGTAATCTTGAAGTCAGATGAATTAACTATAGATAATCGACCATCTTGACTCATCTGGCAAATGTTTATTTTCGAAAAAAATTAAAAAAGAAAGAAAATTAGATATACGAAAAATATCGATTTTCAGCTAATTTCATCAGAAATCGAAAAGCTCATGTTATACTCAAAATTGATTCAGATTATTACAGATCATCTTCAGTTTCACATGTTGAACTTGATTACCAAAAAGGCATCAGATACTGGTTTATAGAATCCTAAGAAAATTCGCCCCCACCGCGGAACGAAGGTAGATGCAGACTGCGGTCCATATTTTAAAATGGATATTAGTGAGAAAAATGAGGCTATCTAGGTTGTTTTGAAATTTGATTCCTTGGTGCTTATTTACTAAACCATTTTAAGAGCTTTCTTTTGAGATAGGTCTCAGAATCCGCAGGAGATTTCGCTGTATTCCTGGTCTATAACTGATCGAGCAACTCTAAAATATTTCGATAATTGCTGGACAAAACGCACTTTGCCTATGAACTACCATGTACTCAAGACGCATTGATCTTTCTTTCAATATACACCGAAATCCAATCGCGATAAAATCTCATTGACAAGAGCACAATCGATTTCATTTTTTATCGAGAGAAATGACTATTGGTATTTTATTAATATAAATTTGACTGTTAGTTACCCTCTTCGAAGAAAAATTACTTGTAATTTTAAGAGAAATAGCGAAGGTCGACTAATACTAACGTCGACTGCTTCTCATTCGGATAGAATAAGAATCAAATTATGAGCAATATTTGAACTATATACAGCTGTGTCGACCTATTCAATTGAATTACTGCGTATTGCCCGGAGATGATGATAGAATAGTTCAAAATGATTCTGTGAGTGAACTCTAACAATTACTTTTTATCTAAAAGAAAAATCTCGGGGGTCAAACAGCGAAATGGAATAAAATCCATGGTAAATACTACGAATATCGGCGTTATTTTGAGTACTGACGATATTTAGATGATGGAAATGGGCAAATATGAGATAAAAACTCACTCATTTTTATCCCGTTTTTTTATTTCAATCCTGAATTGTATATAATGTATTTTTAACTTTAATACTATATTTGGATAGGGCAAAAAACCGGAATCAGTAACTAATAACAATACGTATCGTATCATTTTCTACTAATTTTCTTGATATAGTATAAATAAAAACCAGAAAACATTTGGAAATCTAAGTCCCGTTAGTATACATAGACTGTACATTCTCATGTATAAAAGACATATTTTCCATACTTGGAACACTAGCAGAGTATAAGCAAAATTAAAACAAGATCTCAAACACCATCGTTGATAGAAAAATTTTTCTATGACTTCCAAAAGCATTTTCAAGTATTGTAGACCATATAATTAACATCAGCATGATCGATTATATATATCACGACATAATCTGTATAGAAGTTTGAAGGTACTATCTGTGTGGAAATTTTGACCCCCTCCACGATGTGAACACACGTGAAAATTTTTGACAATATTTCGTGAAACATTGCTTTGCACGCGTGATTACTAGTGCACATACACAAGATACATATCAACGAAGCATGAATACTAGTTAATTTGTCGCTTTTTTCGTGAATTTGACCGTGAACATGCATTAAAAACTCGTTCACGGCAGTTTCACGTGTGAACAAGCGGGAATATTCCGCGCGGGAACTAGCATGTAAAGGTATCTTGGTACAAGAACACGCGAGAATAAAAACATATCTTTCGTCAATGCCAATTAATTTGTCGTTTTCTTCACGCGTGTTCTCATGGGATCACCAATTTAAAAAAAACATACTAGGGAAAATCAGTGAGAAAACGCCCTACTATCCGTGGACACTAGTTAATTTGTCGTTTTGTTCATACGTATGCTCTAGTGGAACATTAACGAGTGGTCACGCGTGTAAAAGTGTTTCGATACGAGAACATGCGTGAAGAAAACGACGAATTAACTGGTGTTGACGAAAGATATTTTTTAATTCTCGCATGTTCTTGTCGATCATGTTGATGTTGGTTATTTGGTCCACAATACTTGAAAATGCTTTTGGAAGTCATAGAAAGATTTCCTATCACCGATGGTGTTTGAGATCTTGTTTTAATTTTGCTTATACTCTGCTAGTGTTTCAAGCATGAAAAATATGTCTTCTATACATGAGAATGATTCCAGGAATGGGCGGGTCGAGTCAATATTTGGACTATATTTGGGCTTATAATTTATAAGATTAAACTATCACTTCTTAATAACTTTTATCCTAACGGAATATATTGCATTGGAACAATTTTTTCAACAGCTTTTCTGCCTATGTATTCATATGTTACAAAAAATAAATTCATTCATTCATTCATATGGTCGTGAACGATAAACTGTGTATATTACTGAATATATGTTTTATCTCGTTCTTTTTTGTTTCGGTTCATGAAGTGTCTACATGTATATAAAAAGTGAAGTTATTCTCTAGGAAACGTTGTTGCTTTTATCGACTAATAGCTACATTATCTTAGGCTAAAACAATGTATTTGTTATATAAACACATGTTTTGCTGTTGAAAATCCGCAACTATAAGGTTCATGATACCTTGGATATGGAAATATCCGAGCGTCTGGATCAAAAACTAGGAACTGGATAATGCGTCATGAAACTTGTTGTTAATACTTTTTATCAAAATAAACAGAAAACGAAATAATCGAAAAAATAATTTGACTCGACTTGGAAACACCGGTGACTCGACTCGAAAGTATTTCAAAATGACTCGGACTCGACTCGAAAAATGGCTTGACTCGCCCATCCCTGTGAGGATGTACAGTCTATGTATACCAACGGGACTTAGATTTCCAAATGATCTCTGGTTTTTATTTATACTACACTTGATAGTCCTTTACACCATATTTTCTTAATAACTTGTATGTCAAACTACTCTTACACATTGCGACCTCTTTAGAAGCAGCAGATGAATGGAGATAAAGTATATCAAATGGTAAATTTGGTTTTGCCCTCCTCTTTGGTTTTTGAATAAAGTGCATAGATCCAAGATAAATCGTTCAACTTCATTTAATCATTTAGATCTAAGTTGAATTTCCTTAATTTTTTATACTAACTACATTTCAATCGCATAAATTGCTCGTTAATTAATTTATTCTTTTGTTTATATTTCTTCTTCCTCCTCTTTCTGTTATTTCTGTTGTAGACATAGCAGTAGCGTTTTGTGTTATAATATTTTATTCTACAGCCTTCACTACATCACGTCAGTTCGTTATCAAAGATTAGTCGTCATTCCATTTTTTTATTGCATCAAAAGAAGACTAACTCCAGTTTTATTATCGTCAGTTTGAACGCATAATAAACGTTCAAATTTTCATACTAGTTATTTTACGTTTTGCTTTATTTGAGTAACTGCTTTTATTATTATTATTAAACCAAGCATAGAAATTAATAGAGTGGCTTTATACAAAGAACAAACGTTTATTGGTAAGAAATTGAGTAATTTTTATCTGTAGTCAACTTGTCATTTAAAACAATTACTTCACACTTTGAACGACATTACGCTCTTTATTCGCTAAATTTTAGACCCGAGCCTGAAATTCTGTAATCCGGTAAAAAATTGTGTAATAACTTACGCATCACATGTATACTAACAAATACCTTATCGTAGTCGTCTTTATCAATTCTTTTAACTACTATTTAAGAGACGATTTATAGTGAAAAAGAGATGTAAAGGCGTCTTTGGTTCTATTTTTTGCATTATTACTGCGGCTGATTCACCTATATTTAAGCAGAATGTCATCGGATTCTTTAGAGATTGGTGTGGTTGTTGTACGAAGATTAGTCCTACAGGTCATCTATTCTATACAGATCATCTATCTATTCTACAGATCATCTTTTCTATTACTTTGAGAAAAGGCCACAGTCACTTTTTGCTTTCTTTAAGATACTCGTGTGCATGCATATTACTGAATGGATAGATGCGACGAGCAGTTTAAGATTTCTTTGTAATGAATGATTGAATTTTATTGTCCAAGACCATTGCACTTTAAATTACTTTCTACAGTAACTTGTAAAAAGTTTCTGTCTGAACTAGAAATAGACTATCATCTATTCCATTAGGACAACTATTTGGGGTTTCATTATTGAAACTCACCTAAAAATAGCCATATATCCTACAATCTACTACAACAAAAAGGACAAATTTCTGCTTGTTGAACGATTTCTTTTCTTTATTCCTGCTGCGGTCAATCAATGATTAATTGAACCTTTTGCTTAATTTTTTATTTAGATCCGATGATATTAAGTTTATGGTCCCTCTTTGGAAACCACCGAAATGAAATGCAAATTGCTGTTTGAATTATTGTCAAGAAGTAAGTCATTTTTCTTATATCTTTCAATATATAAATTTTTATCATCTAACTTCTAGGCTCTTTTGATTGCACAATCAAAATAAGCTATTGGTACAATTATTATTGGCTCTATGGAACCGATCATAAACATTTCGAATTCAGCTAATTATCCATCACAGTCCTTCACGTCCTCAACGCCCAATGGAAAGGATGATGAAGATGAAGACGAACATCTCAGGCAACAACAACATGAACATTTCTCTAAAATTAATATTCTTACACCATCAACCGATAAATTCGTCTCATCTTTATCAATCGATTATTGTAACAACGAGCAACAACGGTTTGACGTTGAGGACAAACATCAACATCCTACCCCAAGTAATATCGATAATATTTATTCGAGTAATGATCAAATTAATTTTTATCATATTAATGAAGGAAGTCATTTAATATCAATTGAATCATTAAACCAACAACAACCACGAGAAAATGGTGATGATTCAGACGATACACAGTCAACTGACGATTTGTATACACCATTAACAACATCACCAACAAATAAAGAAGTATTGTTAATTCAACAATTGCCCCAGTTACAGTCGTATATAAATATGAGTAATTCCAGTAGTGAAACATCCCTAATAAGACCATTACTTGGACAAGATCAGCAGCATACATTATATTGTGCACCGTCATCCATTGGATCAATTAACACCGGAGAAATTGATGATATTAATAACAAAAATAACAAAGACGATACTACAACAAATAGTACAAACTCCTTAACCACAACTTTTCGATCATTCATTGGTTTATATATAACTGATATGTTAATAGCTGCATTTATCATAACACCATTGGTTAATATACACTGGCGTGGTGCTTGGGATTTAATTGATATTCATTTATTACCAAACAATCCCATCATGAGTAGTTTAGCATCAGTTTTATTCGGCTGCGTTGTATTATACATATTTTATTTACTCCAAGATCAATTACAAAGATTGTATGAATTATATCATCATACTACGAGTGCACAAATGATGGCTAGATTGTACACGCTAATAATTGCATTTGCTTATATCAATCAGTGGCGAGGATTATGGAGTCTACTAGACATGACAACAGGTGTATGGTATTATCTAGTGATAGAAACAATAGTTAGCATCATATTCTTGTTATTGATGAAATCGATTTATAATTTGAATTCGGCGCCATTTCTAATTGCTGTTGATACGGAAAGTTATTTTCTTATTGGAAGTCGATACACGTACTTTGTAAGTGAATTTAAACACATTTTCTTCATTGTACATTCTTTAAAATCTTCCTAATGTTAGCATACGTTTAGCTTATCTGTTCGTACCCTTTTTTGCCAGTAAACTACACGTAAGGAATAATTGTTCCTTTTAAAAAGCGTTTAAATTTATTTATGCTAAAATGATGGCTTTTCATAGATTATATCGAAGAAGAAAAATACCCTTGCATTTGCCATCTGGACAGTATGGTTTAGTGATTATATTATTCGTCATATACTTCAAAGATATTATATTTGAATTCCTGTATCGTCAAACAAAGTTCCTTATGCCTTAGAACTATGGATTATCTGTCCGATAATATGCATACTACGCTATGACACACAATTTAGTTCCTCTTTTAGTCTTCACCGCTTTCCGGAAAGCTAGTACACTGTTAGAGAGCGTTCGGAAGGCTCAAGCCATTCGGTGAAAGGGCCTCTGCGTATATTAATGTTTTTCTACTCTATTTAGACACGAAAAATTTGTCAATACACGTTCGATTTTATTTTGGTTGAATTTGTTGAAGCTCCATTATTAATCATCGGTAATAAATCGTTGTTTTAACATTGTTTCATTGGCAATTTTTTGAAAGTTTTTGTCTCTTTATTTAGCATGGCGTGGACTCTACAATCTGTCTGATCAATTCATATTCCCTGAATCGATTATTATATCTATGGCAGTGTCATTTTTGAGTGGTTATGCGTTATTTTTTATTTTGGCATTTATTCAAATACCAGTTGTTAAATGTTTATTAAAATATGAAAAGAAATGTTTACATTCATTAATATCAAATGTATTTCATTTATTAGCATTTGTTAGTGTTGTACAAATTTGGCGAAGTTTATGGATGGTTTGTGAACAATATTTAAATATTCCTGGTTATCATCATTTAACACTGTGGATATGTTTTGTCGGGGCATATCTTGTATTAACATTTGGTTTAAGCAGTTCATCTTTAAACGGACCGGGTGGAGCAAAAGATAATTATATTGATAATGGCCCCATACTGTTATTTAAATTTGATTATTTTACTACACTGTTAAGAGTAAGTTGTTTTGTCGCTGTACGCAATAGATGTCGACTGGAGATTACATAGAATTAAACAATTAGAAATTTATACAGAGAATAGAACTTTACTTAGGGTAGTCAAAAAGTTCTGTCACTTCTAAAAAGCATCTGGTCGATTAAGATCAAGCATCTCCTACACACTCTCATATCATTGTTTGAAAGTCCAGACGCTGGCACACAGGGATCTGTCATCAGAAGAGCTCTGAGTCTTTTCCTTTCAGAAAACAGTGAGCATCTAAGGTTCAGTAAAACGGCTATAGCTCAAAAAGTAAAAGATATTTGCCCAAGCGGATTTAACAACTGGACCCAGCACACTTTCGTGGTCTTTGTTCAGATGCGTTGTATTAAAATATTTCATTAAAGAAGTTCGATTTTGCTTTGCGAACCTCTGCCTATTATATCTTGACGCTCACTTTTTCTCTGAAAGGAAAAGACATATTCTGATGACAGATTCTTGTCTGCCAGCATTTGGGGTTTTTGTACGATGATATGAGAGTGTGTAGAAGATTCTTGATCTGAACCAACCGAATGCTTTTTAGAAGTGACAGAACTTTTTGACTGTCTTAAGTAGATTTAAAGGAAATTTCCTTTCGCTTTATTGTTTTCAGAGTAACTCAATAGATCCAGATTATACGAATAACTCTGGTCTGATTGAATGGATTATGAAAAGTATCATGCTTCGTAAAAATAGTAGGGTTATACTAGAATAATATTCACAAAATCAAACGCTTATTTCTTAATTACATTTTAATGTGTAATTTAAAAATGGATAATGATTTTTTTGAAAAAAACTAAGTTGTTTCATTGTTTTCCCTATCGTTTATCAAATTGTTGAATGCGTGTGCATGCCCGCAGGATACACTTTTGCAGTATACCTTGCTTACAAAAATTCTCTGAATCGAGAATATTTTTCTATCTACTTAATATACTTGATGTATGGTAAGAAGAACTTTTCTTATTTTTATTAATTTAAGGGCTAATTTATCTTTCTATAAATTTGCATTAGAATGCTTTTTCTCTGGTTAAGGGCAGTAAGTAATAATTAAGTGATAGAATCTAGTAAAGTAATAATTGCACTTGATATTTTATCTGGAACTATTTATTCCTTTCAGCTTTAAATATTTATGTGATAGTTAATATTTTTCTAGACAAAAGAACAATCTAAAATGTTTTGGTCATTATGTCTGTTGTAAGAAATGTTTGATTTATAAAGATCAATGATAATGAATAAATAACTGATTTTGATGACATCTTTAAATTAATTGTTTCTTCTTTACTTACCTCACCGTGTTTGATTTGTATCAAAAAAGTGCATTTACTTGAGATAAAGACACTTCTGTTCTTTTTTATTTTGCTTTTATCTTCTCCTGCAGTCTTGTGATGATTAAACTGATAGAAACGTTCTTATACATTGATTCTAATTTTTGTTTTTCTTTCAGCGTCATACATCGAATTATAAATCAGATAATAGTTCTGATTCATCGTCGTCAACTGAAACCATTATTAGAAGTGAGCGGCCGTATCGTTTTGAACCTCCCTAATATGACCTCAAGGGTATTATTAAATGATCATAAAAATAAAATTTGTACATATTCGAATAAACATTATCGATATCGTAGTTGGTGGAAAAGGAAATTATTGTTATCTATTTCAAAAAATTGTTATTTAATCCCATGTCGTTTGTTTCGTATTTTAATTCGTTTTTTTTGTTATAATCAACAAAAATATATAATTAAGCTCTATTAAACACACAGAGAACGACCGAAGTTATTGTTGTTGTTGCCGCTCGCAAAGGGCCCAGTGATTTTTTTTATGATAAATATTTTCTGAAGTGGGAAACAAAATGTTCTCCACTACGTTTTTGCTGTTGCTGTTGCTGCTGTTTGTATAGTTATATATTTTTCGGTATTTCTTCTCTTTTTCTTTATTTTGTTACTTTTCTTTTTTTTTGCTAAATATATTAATAGAGCTTTTCTTTTTTGTTTGTTTGTTGTCCGGTTAATTACAGCGATGTTTTCAATATTATTTTTCATGTTCTGTGTAGATATATGAAATTTATATATCATATACACATCAGATTTTACGTAAATTTTTGCATGTTCTGTTTTTCATACCTAGAAATAAAATTAAAAAAAACAACACCAAACAAAAGACTTGTACACAATTAGGACAATATTGTTGCTTTTTAAAAAGAAATCTATACAACAGAGTACTACTAGCTTTTCACATTCCAGCCTTGTTATGAAAAAATTGTTTGCCTGTTTTGTTTGAAAGAACATAATAGGGAACAAGAATGTGTTTTACAATGTTATATAGTCTTAAAAACATCATCACGTATCTATAACAGACTAGATTTATTTTCTCCTTTTTTTTGTGTCGAAAGAATGACACTTCAAGCATACAGGATTTGTTTGTAAAATTGCCGCATACCGTATCATTTACAAAAATACGATAGATATATGGTAAATTTGCAGTAGAATCGCTCCTTAAGCTACTGAACGTGAAAGAGAATACACACTTCAATTTTTTTTATCAACAAATAACTTTTATTTTTCTTTAGGTGGAGTGGAATATCAAGTAAATGATTCTTCTTAACAAGAATTTCTTTCTTAATAATATGTGTGATAGACTAATATACATTAGCTGGACGCATTCATAGACGAATTTTAACAAGAGAAGGTTATCCTAAAGGTTAAAAAAAAGTGTCCATAAGATGCTCGATTAATAGATTATACTTTATGCCTTTCAAGATGCCTGATTTAATAAGAAGACATTTTTCCAACAAAATTGTTTCTAGCCCAATTTTCACACAACGATTTATTTTCTTGAAATTTTCGAGTGGATGAGTAAAATAAACTATATGTTTATCTTTGAGAAGGCGCGACAATTTGGTGTTTATATGCGAGTAACGTGTAACTCATTCTCAAAGTATTGAAGCACAAGAAATTAATGTCTAGTACACCTTATAGAAAAAAAAGGATGTTTTAAATATTTTTTAACACTAGACCATCGAAAATTAGCTTTTACGCAGTAAGTAGTGTTGAAATGTGTCTGTTTGTCGAGCTTTAAGGAAATATACTGTAAGTAGTGACTTAACACCTGTTGTTTGTCTAATGAGTGTTTTATGGAAACATTTGGTTAGAAGACATGTTCATTTGACAGGTCAAAAAGTTTGGGTAAAATAGACTGTTTTTAGAAATGGTAGTTAAAGTTTGAGAAAGTGGCCTCTTGCCAAGTTGTATTCTATAATAGTGGTTCGCACACCATTAGTCAAATCAAACAGCGAGAAATTCAGGTCATATCTATCTCTTATCAGAAATTTTTAGCTACTAGTCCACCATGAACAAACACGTTCAAAATGATAAAAAGCGAACGAATGCATACTATTGTTATATTTTATTTTATTTTAGTTGTTAAAAGATTATCAATCTGATGTCTGCGCTATTGTTGTCGTCTCTTCTTATCAGAGACATCGCGTTGGATACTTGAACGCTGAAAAATTTTAGAAACATGACGGCTATAGCTAGTGTTTGTATACAGTATTCTCGATAGACTTTGGAAAAGTGAAGTTTTTGTTTACCTTAAACATGCAGATAAAAGATAATTTTAATCAGTGTTATCTGAAAATATCAGTAACAGAAAAAGTCCGATAAAAACTTAATTTGAAGAAAAAATCCAGTTTCGATTGCTCTCTCATGTATTGACCAATTATTGTTACTGCCTACTAATTTTGCAGTGTTTTAATTGAGAATAGAGCATCCTTAAATTCACAAATGATACGAGAACAATTGAAAATTATTTAGATTAGAAGTGAGAAAAGCAGGGAAGAGGAGAAAAGAGGACAACAACAAAAAGACGCTTTATTCGCTTAGATAAAAGCCATGTGTGAAGATATTTTTTCGATTGTAGACCATTAACATTTCTTTTTTTGACATAGAGATCATAATGTAATAAAATATACTTCAGAACTTGGGGATCGATTATTTCTTTTCATCCAAACGCTGTTTTTGCGAATTATGGCACTTTCGTCACATGACGAACGTTCCTAGGATGGGAATACTCCCTGGGAACTGACGTCATCAAAGTGTGAATTTCGCCACACACCAAAAATTTCGTTTCATCAGGCGAATTTCGTCACATGTGACGAAAGTGCATCACTTCCTATGACGAAGGTGCGTTGTCTCTAAAGCACACCTCCTCCTATGACGAAGGTGTGTTATGACGAAAGTGTCTTTGACCATTTCTGCGTTCCATATGACTAGACATAATGCAGTTTGAAACAGTATTATGTCATGTTAGTCTCGCGTATTGATTCCTGGCTTACCCAAAAAAACTCGCTTCCTTTCGTCTATATCAGCGTTTCCCAATTTATTTTAGCAATGGAACCCTTTCATAAAATTTAAAACTTTGCGGAACGCCATTAGTATTTTGACATAATATTTGACAAAAATTATTTAAGACTACGTAATTTTTTTTACGTGGTGAAATTAATTTTAATCTTCTTATTTTTTTCTGACGGAACCCCATTTGGGAAACGCTGGTCTATATCAATTACACGCGTTGAGAGAGACGACATTTTCGCGTTAAGTTACAAATCAGCGTTAAGTTGAGCGATTGTTATTCACATACGTGCAAGGATTCTTTTGAAATATATTAGAAAAACACGTTATTCCAAACCGTTTTGTGAAATATCTACCTCAACAGTTTATAGAAACATCCTAGCATAATGGCGTCCTTGAATGGCGGTAATGAGGTGGAGATAAGTTACCACCAAAATGTAGTGATAGGATTTGATGATGACTTATCTTCACCCGGTAATGATGGCTTCTATTATTGTTGGTATTAGTACTAGCTTTTATTAGCATTATTAGCTTTACACAGAAAGCAACTGGCATACGAAGCGTTTTTATAAGCGAAAACATTTATTATATCGTTGATCTAGACAAACTATCGATTATAGGAGTATTTGTCTAGAATAACAGAAACCATACTCTACCCCATCACTATCCTTCAATTGTAGGTATGAGTCATTGGGTGTAGGACATCGACTATATGATAGAAACTGTTAATTTGTTGATTACTATCAATTTGATATATTCAATTTTGAGTCCAATGTATGAAACCTTGCCAATGTAACGTAACCGATTCTCGGAATAGATTTTAGTCAAAAATCGGTTTGTCCACCATGTCATTATGGATGAATTATAATTAAAAATCTTTTTTAGTGTTCTGGAAGCATTTTACACATAAACCTAGTTCCTCTATATAAGAAATCTTTTTCACGGCCATTCGATATGTAGAAAAGCTTCCATTTTTTCTACTCAACCATTATGACTCATTTTCACTATGTTCACTGACACACAAAAAATCAAACTAATATATATTAGTGGCGCGTTACAGCTTGTGAAACAGGTAAAAGGTTTTTTTGATTTTGCCACCACTTGACGGAAATAATATTTGTTTCTCTAATTAAAACAAAATTCTTTTCATTGTCTTTTTTCAGTAATTAGTGGCTGATTTGAGGTATAATTCCAGCCAGCCGGGTGGACCAGTTTACCGTTTCTCACCAATTCTAGCGCTGTCTTGAACACAACTTGCCTTCTTTGTACAGACGAATAATTCGTCTTATACCGTTTTTTTGATGAAAAATCTATAATCAGAATAATAAGCCCGAAATTGCCTTTACATTCTCATGCTCACTCAAAAGGACAACTCAAAAGGACGAAGGCGCTTTTTCTGTTCATCTTTTCCCTATGAACCATCTTAAATTTTGATTTTGCAAACGGTGAACTCTTTCTAGCTCTGGCAGATGAACTTCGGAGCATCGCAATAAGAATTTCGTGAAAATATCATGAAATATACATGTAAGGTATAGACAAATTTTTATAAAAAATGCTAAAGTTTTATTGTTCTTCTGAGTTTCGAAAAACATGATTTTCACGCTAGATGTGTCATTTATTCTAGAAAAAAGTATTTCAGTTGTTATTCGACACATATATAAATCTAAGCCAAGATTTTTTTAATCATTTTTTACACTTATGATTCTAAATCCAAAGTTTCAGTTTCTAATACATAATCGTCTGGGAGGGTAAACTGAGTTTTAGTGTGAAAATATCCCTGAAGATAAAACTATAAATATCTAAATCAAAAAGTAGAATAGAAAAGGTGAATCTATCATATATCAGTCAACGTTTCTTCGGCTGGACAAGAAATTACAGTTGGTGTTGAAAAACAAATCCAGATTAATTAGTTGCCATTAAAAATATTTAAAAAATTCATCAAATCAAATTATAAGAAAACTATTTACTGGAAAAAAATGGATTATTAAAGTATTCGGTATGTACAAGTATAAAACAATTTTTTCCACATTTTCCTAATATATCTATCTGCTCATAAGTCATCTCCATCGGTTGAGCTTGAAATATGTCTGTTTGAAACGATGAACCAGTATTTATATGTAAATATATAAATAAATAAGTCGCATTGAATATTTCATTATTGCATATATCACACAGATAATATTGAGTGGATATTCCTCAAACGATATCGGAGTGGTTAGGTAATTCTGGCTGTTATTTATTACGTTTTGTCTTAAGGATTCTCGAAAATCGATAAAGCTTTTGTTACACCAAAATTGTTAAAATTTTATCCGTTAAGGGAACGTCGTCTATATCGCCAGCATGTTCTAATCGTGTTTACAGTTTAACACTAAAATGTAGTGAGTAAACTTTTTGTTTCTGATTTTCGTTGTGGCTAAGCGTAACACTTTTCATTTTTGCCAACAAAATCATGCAAGGTTTCGAAAAATTATGAGATATTTACAGTACTATCATTTCATTTAATCAAATAAACTGATCGACGGATTGCCATTAAAAGAACCTAAACATCAGCGCAAGATTGATATGCTAGTTAACATGGAGATTTCTGAATGCATGTACTCTCTAAAAAATAACCGTATTTTGAAAAAGCGGTTTAGACAGAACAGTTATAAAACCCAAAATGGTTTAATTCTACAAAACCCAAAAGGATTAATAACCAAACATTCGCTAAAAAGTTTTTCCTAAACCGAAAAAAGCGTATTTAAAAACAAAAAGGGCTTTTCTATTTACCAAAAAAACTAAAAAGCGTTCTTTAGAAAGAGTCAAAGGGTTTTCTAGCTTTGGTGAAAATCAAAAGGCTTTTTTTAGAAGAGTTAATCATGCACTTTATATTTCAGAACATTCCGCAATAGTATTATCATTTCAGAAAGCCGTCTCCTCGTCTCCTTCAAAATGTTCTCAAGGCCTAATTCCGATGGTAGAAATATGATTGTTTTTACTTTCATCATGCTTTACCCGGTTTTCTCTTCAGGAGCATGATGAAAGCTGGTTTTCTTCTTTGTGGTGATAATGATGACGATGTTATCTTAAAGTGCATTTGTATTTTTACTTTTGATACGAGAAGATCTCTCGAGAAGATGAAGTGTTTCTTAAGGTAATTGACATATAGATTTCACCATGTTTTTCCCGGCTTTCTCTTCGGGAACATAACACAACCAACGTGAATCAGTCATCTCAGACTTGCTTCGAGACTGAGCTTAGCATAAGTACAGAGCAGTTTTATTTGTAAACGCGCTCTTTAATTGTCACAGAAGCTATGCTAACAATTTTTTGAACTTTTAGAAACATTTTGATTGTTATTTCTAAAACAGCTTCAATTCTAAGTTCTCTCATGTACTTCTCAATTAGGATTTGACATATAACTGGCGTTTGATCTCAAAATAAAAGTGAGAGCGGTTGATGTTTTATGGTGAATATTACCAATAAGGTAACGCTTGCCGTATGTGAAGAAAACATTCACGCTTGCACGTTCAGAGAACGTATACCCATAGATATTATCGCTAGGATCAGTTCGTTATTAGAGCCAATCTAATATTCTGTAAATGAGGCGTAATGATTAAGCTCCAATCCTCTGTGCGTCATACAAGACCGAACTGATCTTTGCTACATCCTGAGAGTCACTAACAGCAAAGCGATCTTACACCGAGGATACTCACAATTGTTGTTGTCTTAACATTTCAACATACATTTCCAATTGCAAGCATCGTTACCTATTATAAATTTAGATATGGCTTAGTAACCCAGTAGTGAACTGTTTCTTGTTCTGTATAGTTTCGTAGGAGAAGGTTTAGTAACTTTACTCGTTTCTACACCTCTCCTAAACGCTTTATAAAGGTTTAGGATGGAACTATTCAGAACGAATAAGGGTTTTGAAGAGCTGCTAAACCCTCTCCTAAACGCTTTTTTATGTAAACTCCTAAATCCTTATTCGTTCTGTATGGTTGCATTTTCCTAAATCCTTTAAAGTTTTTTAAACTACGCGTCTTTTTAGAGTGTATTGTGTTGCTGTTCTTTAAATAAATATTTCGTAGAAAAGACAATATTAGGGTGAACTATATTCCGAGTGCTGCTTTTTGTAGTATTGTCAAAGAAAAAAGCCTTTTGAAGCACGTTTAGTTATTATAATTTGTTAAGCTCTGAAGATCGTAAAAAGAAGTTTGAATTAAAGAATTTATTTTTCTAAAAAAGATCGTGCACCGTAACGACAATCAAACAGATTTTCTAAAGGTCCTCTTCTGAAACTCATTTTACATTCTCACTTTTGAATTGTTTATATTCAACTGCATAAGTACTGTTGTAAATGCCGAAATTTTCTGTGAATGAAACATATCGTATATTCTTTTCTTTTGTAATACCGAAGAGATTAAATAGATTTGCAATAGTCACAACAATCAGACCGAGAAATTTTGAAAGTTTGTTTGATTGAAACCCATTGCAGTTTTGGACTCTCCGTTACGGGGAGTGGCGTAGCCACCGGGTGCGCTGGTGTGGGCTCAGACCACCCACTAAAAGTTTTATAATTCACACTACTCTGCGCTAATGTCTGCTACTTTGAAAAAATTTAGTAGAGATAGATATTCCTAAGAAATTTTCTCTGTTTTTCCGAGTAAATTTTTAAAAAAGTTTTAGAGGCTAAGATTAAATAACATCAAGAAATTTTTAACAGCACTCCGACCTAAAACTTGTTGCGTTTAAGGTAATCAACTATTGCGAATCTGTACTCGGTTTCAATCGAACAAACTTTCAAAATTTTTGATTAGGTTGATATGTCTCTGGACTGAAATTTAACGATGATAAAAAATAAATGCTTTGCATTGATATTTCGTCCATCTAAATGACGTTTCAAGCCGAAGGGTGAGTAATTTGAAAATGAACTTTACTCATAAGAGAGACAATGTGCAAATTTAATTTGTTGTAGACCGTGTGACGTCGCTGTTGTAGTAGTGCATAAATACGTCGACTTTTTTCATTTGATATTAGTGGTTAATGAAACATAAAGACCGCTTAGAAAAAGGGAGAATAATTATCTTCTTCTTTCTCTTGTAAGATCATTTAGAAACATGTGTTCGCTATTTTATATGGCAGGGTTCTGATCCGTTAGAGTTACTTACTTCTGTCGTAGTGTTTCATCGAAGATTGTTTTCTCAGCTACATTACGATTCTGCTATTCGTTAGATTTTTTTCTTGATTCTCTTGGAATACGGTAGTAGAGTTAGGATTAAACATGACTCTTTTATTTATGTAGAGTTAATTGTAACATTATGAAAGAGAAACCCAAAACCCAGTTTAGTGCCACAAAAACGGTAATCTTTTTTCACTTAATCTTTATTTGTTTCGTTACATTTCTTGCCAAACCTTTTGTTTTAGTGGTATGAAATTGTTACTTCATTCAAATCAACTATTAAACTCAAGCGAAAACGTGTATTTTTCAAAACATATCAAAATTGTTTTTCATCAACCGAGGCTGTCACATGTATGTTGAACATATTACAAAAACATGCAAAATCCTCTCAGGAAAACATCACCAGGTAAGTCGACCTTTCATATCACTCTCATTTCTTTTATCTAGTATTGTTATTATGTGTTTTAGAAGTCAAGCAGTGAATTTATTAAATACGTTTTATGAAGCAAAAATTTTTTCTGATGTTAAAGATGATCTCAATGTCTCAAAAAAACGTTTTGTTGAAGATGATCGAATATATAGGTAAGATTATAACGCGATATTTAAAATAGACAAATGAGAAGAGACATCTGCTAGCATTGAGCAATGTCGTCGTGATAGATTTTTCTTTTGTATCTTTTTCTGATGTAACTAATAATACAAAAATGCTAGTCGACTTTCATTTATTTCTCTTTTAGACTTCTCCCATCTACAGACGAAAATGTATTTCAATCATTCATTCAACCACCAGATGTTAATAAACAAACAACAAATCTTTCACCTTCACCATCTTCTGTTTTTGAACTAATGTATGCTTATGCAAAACAAAAGCGAAAATATTCATTCAATGTTCTCAAACTGTTTTCTCACTAGTGGTAATAGTTTCGTGTTTTTTTGTTTCTCATTGTATATAGAAATGTGTGGTTTTGTATAATTTTATTTTTCTGATTTATTCATTCTATCTCTGCGAACATAAACAATAGATAATAGGACGTTGCTACAATTTATTTTCAAATAATTAAGAACTATGAACTGTTAGTTTATTAACATGATTGTATCTGTTGGTGTTCTACCGTTGTAATGTATCGCTACTATATCATTGTTCGCTCAAATTTTAGCGAACACTGGCTTTGCTTAGAATCACAGAATAAATGTATAATTTCAACTTACAGCTAACGTTTTTTGCCTAATGTTTCTTTCTGTTTTTTTATAATTGTGAACTTCTAATGAACGTTACTGACTTTATGATCTACTCTTTCATATTGTTCATATGGTAGAATAATATTTTCCTAAAGACTTTTTTCAGCCAACAATAAAATACAAATATTTTAATTCAATAGTAAAGAGTATTCCACTTCGACTGATTTCTCTGATAGAAAAAAGTAAAAATGACAAGACACATTATTATTTATTATCAACTTAAGTTCAACTTTGGACTGAACTCTTTTAATATTGAATGTTTTTTTAACTTAATTCTTGTAACTAAGAAGACCTCCGATTCATACTGATTTTGTATTTGTTCTCTATTACTTTTATTGCTTCAACTAAAACGGTATACATATTTTGCATTATAAGACAAAAAACAAAAATGTACATCTTTTAAGAATTTTAAGCAGTAATGGATAAAGAGTTAAAATTAAATATAAATTACATATTACTCTCTCTTACACTGTGTAAACTCTGTTATATAGACACCACATATACACATACACACAAAAATATATATAAGAAAATAAATAAATAATTAAACTTTCATACAGAAATGAAAAATAATAGTAATGTTTATGATCAAAACAAACGAAACAAATTAATTTTATTCTTCTAATTCTCCATCACTATTAACCGTTTCCAAAATTGATACAGTTCGTGCTAAATAACGTTCTGAAGATGAACGAGCTCTAGGACCATTTGCATCGCTCTGCATTCGTTTTCGAGTACGTGGATTGGCTAATGACGCTTGACGGGATATTTGTGACAATGTGCGTTTTGGTAAATATAATTTGGCATCTGAAACCATTCGTGTAAACATGGCACGTGGACGTTTATTGATTAGAGCTGTTTTTTCAAACGTAACTTTTGGTTTTGTCGGTGTTAATGGTTGTTGTTGAGGCACAGAAGGGACAACGGCAGCCGTGGAATTTGTTAATATTTGATCGGGTATATTTGTTTCATCTGAGACAGCTGTTGTTGGTTCCGGTGTGTCACCAATTGTTGATGTAGATGGTGGCACTTTTGATAATAAATCTAGAGAATCACTGGATGTAGATGAGAGACGACCACCACGCATCGCCTTATATTCTTGAATAACATCATTGGCATGCGTTTGAATTATATCAAATGCTACACGCATATCATCATCAGTAGCATATTTTGAACAAACAGCAAAACGAATTATGTAAAGTTCTTTAACCATTGATGGGACCATATGAATTTTACCAGAATCATTCAATGATAATAGCAATTTCTGACTAAGCTTGTTGCTACCCTAAAGTAAAGAAAAAAAAATAGACATTAAATATTAACATAAACATGAATTCTGTCTGCCAAGCCACTCGCATACAAACAGTTGAAATCTCTAAACTAGTTGTGAGATCTATTTTAACTTACAATCAATCGAAAACAGACTAAGCCAAGTGTTACATCTCCAATTATTTCAAAACGATTGTCCTTTCTTATCAACACTTCAAAAACTTTAGCTAATCGACAATGCTGAAAAGATAAAATTGTATATGAAATTTGCAAGAAATTTTTTCTTTGATAAAGCATACTTCTCGAACATAGTGGCGTAAACCAGTAACACCATAACTACGAATTGTAAACCATAATTTTAATGCACGAAAACGACGACTGAGGGCAACTCCCCAATGCTATAAAAAAATATCAATTATAAACTTCTTATAATTAAGAGAAAGTAGTATCGAACAGTTATAACATACACGATAATCAACTGCTTTTTGTGCATGTTTATGTTGTAAGTAGAGTGGATCTACAGACATTGCATTTATTAATGCAAATTTATCTCGTACCCTAAACGAAAGATATATTTCAGTCTATACTCAGAACTATAAACTATTTATTACCAAAAACACGAACAGTCGAAGTTCATCAATAACCATTTGTTTGGATTCGTATTAAAGGAATCCGCATACTAAGAATAGAGCCAAAGTTAAATATTCATGGACAACTTTGTTGTTATGAAACTTACTTGTATGCCTTTCATAAGATAACGAAATTCTTCACAAATAAATGCGCTTCCAGCATAGGCACCATCAACATGAAACCATAATTGTTCACGACGGCATATTTCACCAATTTCTTCGAGGTTATCGTAAGAACAGCATGATGTTGTGCCCAATGTACCAGATACCTTCAAAAATAGTATTGACTGTTATCTTTTTCTTTTTTTAGTAACAACAACCAAATACTTACAAAAAAGGGTATTAATCCTTTTTCCTTGTCTACTCTGATCGATTCTTCCAAGACTTTACCACGTAACGAGTAATGTTCATCAACATATAATTGTCGAACTTTAATTACAGCGATCAGACCGGCTTTTTCAACACATGAATGTGCCTAAATACGAAGTATTGCGTGCACTCTATAATCGATTGACTATCTACTATTTACCAGTTTTGATGTATAAGCCACCAGTTTCGATAACACTTGCCCGTCTTCAATTAATGGATCTGTTAAACGTTTACTAGCAATTTTTTTTGCACGAGCACATAACATGGCTACTAGTACACATTCACTAGCCGAACCCTGGAAGAAAATAAAGAGGAACAGATCTGGACTGCTGGAGGATACACGAAACGAGAGAAAACATACCAACAGAACACCTCCACCTTTGTGTCTATTTTTCTTTCCATTTATGATTAATTCATCTTTAACGGCAACGTCTGAAACATCATCATCATTATCAACATCACTCAATTCATAGTCCGTGTCTGAATTTGTTTCATCATCGCTATCTTTATAATCACGATTGATATCGAACGGTAAAAATACCCTCGGCAAAGCCATCATTCGTCCTTAAAATAGAGATGCAAAATGACAATAAACAGCGTTATACTAACGGGTGTTTCAGACTAAATCGATCACTTAGTATTTTGTCTATACCCCAGTTAAATTTTATCTCCTAAGTTTTATTGTTTGCTTATAAATACATAATATATATTATTCATCATGCATAGAAGAAATACTGTGAAGTTTCAATCTCGATTACTTTACAATCAAAAAACAATTTTTTAGTTTTAGTCCGTCATGGCCGTTTGTTAGCCCTTAAGAAGCTCTACCAAGTGGCTGTATTTCAAACTCTTCATAACCATAATCGGTTGTAGGAGAATTTTTTTCTTTTATCAATATCCCCGAAATCAACGTTTTCCAACTGCAATTTTGGTGCAGTTAGAAAAACTTTTATAACTAGGCGAAAATCGAACCTTTTAAGGTCGGGTTTGCTTTGTCTTAAAGCAAAATAATTCTTCTGTTACATTCGTACGGAGAAAATCTCAAAAAAAAAATATTTTCTCTCCTTTTCTTGTGTCACGGCAAAAATGACAACAGCCCCGTTTTTTTTGTTAAATTTTAGTACAATCGTCTTTTGTGCCAGAAAAGCACGTTTAAACCGAACCTCTGATAGACGAAAAGAAAGACGCCACTTCGGAACACCCGAACTTTCATTCTGATTTCACTTTGACGTATGGCACTGTGTTCAAAAAAAATTTGTTTTCCTTGTCTTTTGAATTACAAAGTAATTGAGATTAAAGCTTCACAGTATTTCTTCCATATTCTATTATCTTTATAGTATATAAAAAAATGTTTAGTATATTTTTTGTAGAGAATTTCACGACGCATCTTTTAAGAAAACAATATGGCTTAGGGGATAAAATTCAACTGAGAGATGAGCAAAATACTAAGTGACCGATTTATTCTGAAATATCCGTTAAAAACTGACTTACCAAGCCAATCGAGCATTATTGTTTCAAGTTCCGTGCATGCTGGACTTGCAGCCCAACTAAAGCCTACAATACCTAAACCAGCAGATAACATTTCACCCAATATTGATGGATAACTATTGCCGGCTGGAAAATAAGCATGAAAACGTGGGTGTTGCCAATGTGTTATCTAGAGAGAACAGCGGAAAAAAGTAGAATTTTACTTCTTAAAAATCACTTGAAACTTACACCCGGCATTATGGCTATTTCAACATCTTTCATTATGTCATTCCATGATTCAGATTCATCGGGTGCATTTTTCGGTAACATTGGACGTAAATAGCCTGGTTCAACTTCAGGTGTAACTCGGCGTTGACTTCATAACACAGAAACAAAGACAATAATCTGCAACATTGTACATCGCGCAGCAGACTCCTACCTAATATTAGTGAGATAATCAGCAATATAATCGATCATCTCTTTACCTCGAAGACGAAATTCATCAGTGTCCATTCCAGGAATAAATTGTTGTTTCCGTTCATCACCACTACAAAAAAAAATCGAAAATAATCATGTATCTAGCGAGAAATTAACAAAGTGGCTAAATAGAAAAGTAAAAATGAACATGATGTGTTTAACTGTTTATTGATGGCTGATACCATCCTACTTTGTCTTTTTTAAAGCACGTCTGTTAATCATTACATTTGGAAGTGCGATTACTGAGCAAGTCAAAAGAATGTTCATCTGTATTATAGAATTTTGTGTTTGTGCTACTTCAGTTATTCTTATGTTTGGGAATGATGGCCACTATCTCACAGAAGAGAATGAGGACTTCTTAGTCACTAAAATAAGAGACTTTTTTGTATCTTCTGCCAAAAACTTGACTTTTTTTCTCGCATAGCGTTCATAGCTAATTCATTTTGCTATACACAAAATAAAAAGATTGCTGTTAGTCGATTAAAATAAAAATAATCGATATCTACACTCTTCGAAGAGACTACGTATGAGTGGAGTGTTTAGTAATGAATGACTTACTAAGACTTTGCGCACGATAAGTATGACTATCAACATAACAAATTGCTTTCTTAACTCTATTTATTTATTAAATGAATTCGTAACTGGAGAATTATGTTTTCGAAATTGGTAAATTTAGAGAAATGCTTCTTCAGACAACTAGCATGCAGTTACACGTTGTGTGTCGGAAAGAGGACAAAAGCACAAAGAAGGACAATGGACGAAATATTTCTTGATCTGTAGTGACGAATATGGTCCGATGTGACTAAAGAACAACGCCTGCTATTCATCTTTTTGTTTTGGCTCGAAAAGTGAATGAATATACATTGAGAACCATGTTCGTTTTAAGCTGGATCGTATACTATAGTTTTTCCTACAATGCCAATAATTAAGAAAGACCAAAATGTTTTTCTTTAAACTAGAAGAACGAGTTCGAAGTGCTGACTAATTACATGAAAATTTA